ACGCATAAAGATGAAGCAAATCCTCGTTGCTACACGAAGGGAGGGATCTTACTCTTTTAGTTGCAGTCAGAAAGTCCATAACGCGAAATATGAAAGTGGAGAAAAACAAAAGATTCAAATAGCCCCCAATACGGCCTTCAGCCTAGGTCAATCATTTTAATAATTTTCATCTGATTAAATGAATGCATAAAGTTATCTTTTAAAATAAATATTTTACAAAAATTTATAAATAACTGCGTCATTTTTATTTGTAATTTTATATAAATGATATTAAATATAATACTGTTAAAAAAGTAAATTATTGCGGTTTAACATTTGGCTAGAGTACTTCCTATTTTTAATGATTTTTTATTTTCTAGTAGATATTCGAATTTCCATATTATATCTATGAATCACTAAATGGTTTTGAGCAACGCTCATCAAAGAAACATAAGAAACCTGAATTGCCATATGCAGGGATTCAATGCCTGAAATAGTTTCGAGAAATAGTTTTTTTAAACTAAATTGGAGTTCTTAATTTTACAAGTCCCCCGTGAAATATTTTATGATATTTGGTATTTAACTCAACTTAAGCAAAGATAGCTAAAAGATAAAATTTGGCAGCTATTCGAATAATTTCCTTTATTACAGTTTAAAAATATCTGTCTTTATCAATATTAAAGATTTTACCAACGAATCATGTTTGTGTCTGACTACTTCGTTCGGCGAAGACACCATTATGGCTCTCATGATATATAGCCCTGACCTTGCGCCTTCGGATTACCATTTGTTTCGTTCCATGCAAAACTCTTCAAATGGTAAAATTTTTAACAACGCGGATGATGTCGGATCACACCTAATTCAGTTTTTTAATAGCAAAGACCAGACATTTTACGAACGGGGAATTCTGACTCTGTCAGAACGATGAAAAATGTTCATCGACAATAACGGCCAATATCTAATTGAATAAAGTTATATTTTTAAACAAAAATTCCGAGTTTGCCTTCTTATATGAAATCAGCAATGACTTAGTTGCCAACCTAATATAATCTTTATTACGTGATAGGAATACTTAAGTCATTTAGACAAATGCTCTAATTACCAGCAAAATGTTTACCTTTTGCTTATTATGCTGATCGAATATGTCGTATTCATCAATAATCTATTATTATCTCTAAGAAAAAATATGGATCCTCTCACTAAGCCAGGACTAATGAGACTTCTCTTCAATTCAATACCTATTCGAAATTGAATTTTATTTGTTCTAATTGATACACATAGATAGAGTCATATTCGGTTTTGTCGATATTTTCTTTAACTATACTCCTATAGGATAATTTCTTGTTCTTTAAATAAATGTTTCAACTTTACTAAAAAATATGACATACTCCTTCTGAAGCGCACTGAAGCACCTTACTAAAGACTTTTAAGTTCAAATTTGATTTTGGGACAGTTTCGTTCAAAAATGTTTCATGATATTTGTTAAAAAGTGATCGAATTGGTAATATGAGTCCATTATGACAAAGTTACATCAGCATGACTTGGGTAATGCAGATGAGCCGCGCGGAAGTAGAAAGACTGGTCATAAGTAATTCTAGAGTAAAGTAAATGGCAAAATGAATGTTAATAACCACCTCTTACATTTGTTAAATTCATGCTACTTTATAATATTTATTTAGTCATGGAGGTAGTTAAGCCATTTTCTGCATATTACTAATTTTATTGCAAACTTTTGTGATCATTAAATACCTGTTAAAATGTAAGATAGCTTACATAGGACTTTCATCGAATTTATTGGTAATAAACTATTTATGTTAGTCTGTTATGTTTCCCCTAGGGTACTAAGCATGTGTTTCATTAGAGTGTAAAAACACATGTACCCCTACCTTTTAATCAATTATGTTAATGAAATGACACAGATAACTCCAGAATGAGTATCATTATGATTGAAATACAAGTTAATGGATGATATTGAAAATTCTGAGCAGGAGGGCGAAAATAAAAACCGACCTCAAATCTGCCAAGTACAGTCTATATTACTTGTAAAGCTGGGGGTTTTGTCATCAAGCTTAGAACACGAGTACAGTGAACTGAACTGTTATTGCAGCATGATCATGTCAGTTCGACCTCTAATCAAAATAAGACGACCTATGGCAAACGAGTACAAAAGAACTCAAAATGTTAGTTATGAATTATGATTTATTTATCATTAACCAATAGTAGTTGGTTTATGTGTTTTATGCACTTAAAGTCGTAGAAATGATGTCAAGTTAAAAGTATTTATAATCGAAATGGTAATAAAGTAGTTAGTCAGACTACTCTAATATGTAAAGATCAATAATAAGCACGCAACTATTAACGAAGGAATAAACAGTTAAAAGTCTGCTATGATTTTGGCACGCTTTCTCTTTAATCCTTGAAAAGCTACTGGAAATATTGAAATATAAAAAATGTCTTGGGGTTTTGAAGTTTAGAAATTAAATTCTTAATGATGTTAAAGCGTTTTTTAAAGCTTCGAAAATCATGTGGTAATATGTTTCGACAAAATCGTAGCACCTCACAACTTGTGTATATCGTGAATAAAAAGCAATACTTCGTAAGAACTTTAATCAGACAGCAGTGAAATATCACTCGTTCACACATGACACGATCATGTGTAAAGAAAAGTGCAATTGCAATATCTCAGACCAAACAAAATGACAATACCAGCAAGGCGCATTTCCAAACAGCAGACTAAGGAGTAGTGACTCCCAAGTCCAATCCAGACGATTCAATATGATATTTACAAGATGTTTACCCAAGAAGTCAGCACTAAGATATCTGGCAAGATCAATTTGAGAAACTGGCAAATGGGGGAGATTTGGAGTCTAAAAAGTGAATGTGACACAATATTGCTAGGAAATAGTTAGCGAGTAAAGTGCTATCCTCTTTGCTTATGTAACATTAGCATCATAGAGCATAAGTCTCACTAAAATAGTTTTAGGTAATTGATTGTCATGGTGTTGATATCAAATACTAATCAACTGCAGCGATAATTTATATATATATATATATATATATATATATATATATATATATTCCGTTATATATATATATATATATATATATATATATATATATATCGGAATAAAGAGTTTACTAAGAAATATAGATTCAGGTAGTCGGAGAGAGTAAAAAAGTGTGATCTAGCATATTGCTTTGGATTGTAGCGCACTTGAGAGAAGCAGTTTTGGATGATTCGATTTCAATTTATTGGTTTTAAATTAGGTCAAACTTTTAAAGAAAGCAATCGAAGTAGTAACGTTTTTTAAAAATAAAAAATGATGCCTCATCCACGCAAATTTAGAATCCCATAGACCAATAATGTGAACAATGAGAAACAGTGGAATATAAATAAGGAAAATAATATAGTATGCTTGAGTGGAAAAAATAACACAAGATCTCAATATTCGTAAAATATCTAATAGTTGGAAATGAAGAAAGCTAGTGAAATGGATAAACTAGAAATTATACTTTAGATTGCTAACTTCGAAAAAAGAGATAAGCAAAAATTATTACTTCTGTAGATAATGGGTCGACAACGATTTGTTCTCTGCAACTACTATTCATTAATCGAGACATCGAAGGCGGAAAATGATTGGCATCTAACGGAAAAAATGTTTGTATGCCTAATGTTTTATGAATAAATGGGTGTGCTTTTTAAGCCAATTTTAAATTTCTTCGGAGAACCGAAGAAATGACTTATTGCCAAATGTTTATCAACTTCTCACTGTGGCTTCATTCAGAATATTTCAAGCTAATAACCAAAAAGTACTACGCCAAACGCTCATTCTTATATGATGGGTGATGTTCCATATCTCATAAACCTGAGAATAGCTAATGTTAATAAATCAGAATTTTTGATAAAGTAGATTACCTGATTATAAAATATTCATTATTCTGCAATAGGTGTTAATCTTACACCAGGAAACAGAGGTAACAAGAAAATATTTATCAAATTATTTTAAAATAGTGTCATCAGATTGTTTGCTTGCTGATACATTCTGCATATAGCAACATATGTTGTCGTGCTTATCAAGTCCATGGTTGAGAATCATTTTAAATAAGTATTAATTAGGAAAAAGAGGTAACTGAAATCTTCAGTAATTAGAAGGTATATCTCGTTGCTTCACCTAGGATGCTAATAAAATGTGTAGTAATTTGCAAGGAAACAGGTGTTGATCCGCTTTTGAATGAAGTGCACGTTACTGATAAAGCTGATGAACACATATATCCCTCCTTTAGAAATCAATCATATCATTAATCTGAATGTCCATGTCAATAACGCAAAATCGTTTGAGAATATAATCTGAATTTAAATAGGCAAAAATCACGTGAGTCAAATGAACTTCTGCCTGTTATTTTTGAGATAAAGAAAATATTGATAGTAAATCTCTCAACAACTATTTAATAAATGAAAGTTCAATATCAAGAGCCAGTTTCTTAGCCTAAAAATAAAACGCCAAAATATTAAACCAGATATCTTGGGCTATCGATTTAGCCTGGATTGTCGCCCTGACCTGTTTAGGTGCTGTAAGCACGTTTAGATTTTAGTTATTTCGTAAAATAATTTTACTAGTTAAAAAGCGTGTGATAAATATATTCATTTTCAATTTTCATTTCTAATGTGCAACAATTATAATTTTATAGACACATTAATCAGAGATGTTACGGGTTCCCCGTTTCGCAAGGTATGTTCGTATACTTGGGCGTCGATTTTCATCAGGGCCTCCCAAATCAGATCATTATAAATTTGAACGACCGGGAGCGCAATGTATGTTAATGCATATTTGATTAATAGCATTAATTTCATAGTTAGAGAAGACCGCATTCCAAAACAGTCAGATGTCGTAGTCATTGGTGGTGGAGTAATTGGCTGGTCTGTGGCATTTTGGATTCGATACCTAGCTAAAACTACAGTAACTGTGATTGAGCGCGATCCTACTCTATCTCGTGCTTCAAGTTTACTGGGTCTTGGCAATATTCGAACTCAGTTCTCTGAAGCTGAAAATATTCAAATGGCCCTATTTACCGCCGAATTTCTGCGTGACATTGAGGAGCAGCTTTCAGTCATTGGTAAGTCCCAAAGATTTCGTTCATCTCATTATTTTCAATTTCTAGATGATGAAATACCTGATATAAACTTTAATCCCCATGGAAATCTCATCTTAGCGGATGCTAAAAATGCAAATCAAATGAAAAGGAACTACCAATTACAGGTGTAGGTAGTTATTGCATCAGTTTATTGAGGTCTAGGGCTCTAAAAGTTCCGAATCGCCTTATGACTTCTGATGAAGTGAATAAGCGTTGGCCTTGGATCAACACAACTGATATATCTTTGGCTTCTTATGGTTAGTTCGATTAGTAAGATCTTTTTATAATCTCCCATTTAGGCGACAGAAATGAGGGCTGGTTCGATCCCTGGCTACTTGTTCGTAGACTTCGAAACAAGGCTCACACTTTCGGGGCCAATTATGTCGTGGGGGAAGTTGAAGAATTCACATTCTTCAATTCACTCACCCGCACCACCTTCCAAGATCGGCCTTTGAGAGCCCCATTAGATGCACCAAGATTAAGTGAAGTTGCGATTCGAACACCGGCGGGAGATGTGGAAAAAATAGCCTTCCACATGGTTATCAATTGTGCTGGAGCTTGGTCGGGAGATATTTTGAAAATGGCTATGGCTAATATCAAAGAGGACATTTTGCCACTTCCTCTTGAAAAGCGGTAAGGCTCTCCAAAAAATAAGTTCACAACGAATATTTTATTTCGGTTTAAGAGATGCTATTTTGTTGATTTTATAGATGGTTCAATGTGATACCCTTAATGAAAACGCTAGTCTGTTCCAGCCTGCACTCGTGTTAATATATTAGTCTAGCTTTTGGGAAAATAAACTCATATGACTTTTATTTAGTCGCTAAGCTTAAGCAATTCGTTTCCCAATCTTCGTTTAGACTAGAATAGTTGTATCGCGAAGCTCTCCTGGCAAAATACAGTTGACCATTCCTCGCATCGGGTGCAAATCAACGCGTTTTGAAGCCATCATAAGCACGATTTATTTTTCATAAAACTGTCTAGATATTTTCTCTTATATTCACTACCAAGCTGAGTTTTTTCTACCTTCTCTTCGCTTTCATATATATCATCTGTTTTGGATGTCTGTTTGATTGCTTTTATAAACCCCGGAAAATGAGTCGCAATGGAATTGAAAGGAAAAAATGCAATTATGGGTTTATTTATGCATCTAAATGACTTTCAAAAATAACTGTACAAATAATATTTATGTGTGAAGTGTTGTCTATTTAACATTTCAGGAAACACAATATCTTCATAGTGCGTCCAGATTACTCACAATCCTCTCAGTCTTTCCCAGGAATCGATTGTCCTATCCTTTTGGATTCTACTGGTCTTATGGTTCAACGTCAAGGCCTAACTGGCGACTTTGCAGTCTGCATGAATCCCTCAATGCCCCGCGAAGGCAAACCCGTACGTAACTTACTACTCAATCATCTTTTCGAGCATTTGCGTTATATTTTTGATCTCCATTCAGGTGAATTCGGAGAACCTAGAAGTCGATTACTCTGAATACCATGAGCATATTCAGCCGCTTTTGGCGAAAAGAATACCAACCATGGCTACATCACGTATCCAGACGGCTTGGGCGTGTTTCAACGATTACAACCCTGTGGACCAAAGTTTAATTGTTGGACAGCACCCCTATCTCTACAATATGGTCATGGCCACTGGCGCCTCAGGCCTAGGAATCCAGCACGCGATTCCCATTGGCCGAGCAGTGGCTGAACTCGTTCATTACAAGCATTACAAATCCATTGACCTTACACGATTCTCTTTCGATAGGTTCTATCTGAAAGCACCGTTTGCAGAGAAGTCTGTGTTTTAGGCATACACCACCCCCCCCCC